TCGAGGAGATACACTTCAACTATGGAACTTTGAATCTGACTGAACAGTTTCCTCCTGGGATCAACAGTCCATGTTCAGTGCTGCTCCTCTGTCCTGTCATCTGGAGCCGTCCCAGAACACACACACACCTCCATCTCCATCTGTCCCACCAAAAATAGCTCGTCCATTTCCTCACATGACGCCCGACCCCTCCTCTTCTCAGCTTCACGGGACTGGAACATCCACAATATTAAACCTAATGCTTGGTGTGTCCCAAGATCACCCTCTCAGTGGTTTGATCTGTGGTTAAACCTGTCCATGAGACCACAACATGCTCTCGTCATGGCATTACAACACATTTTATCTTTTGAATATTTGTAAGAAGACCTATGTGAGAGCTGATTGGTTGAGAGACGTCTTCTCTTCTTTTTTACATCTCTGTCTGAAAAAGCTGAACTACTACGGTTGCCGGTTGACACAAAAACAGTTTGGCACTTTACAGCCGCAGTCGCCCCACTGTGGGACCTGGTGTTCCCACAGGTCTCCCATCACAGTATTAACCAAACCCTGCCCTGCTTAGCTTCAGAGGTCTGACAGGCTTTCACATGCAGGTGTGATTACTAGCGATGAAACTAATTAGAGACAAGACATGAACATTCTGATTTATCGAACAGAACTGACTTTTTGTGCGCCATATGAAATGTGTTTTTTGAGATCTTGTGGTCTCCCATCCTTGCTAATGACAGAGCTGTAAAACTTACATATTTTTGCCCTGAATTAACCCACGTTTTCACTCTTTCTTCAGTCCTCATTGAGAGCTTCTCCTCTCTCTACTTGCGCAGTACAGGCAGCTCTTCTTCCTGGGACGCAGAGCTGAATGCTTACAGAGCCGCGATGCTTTCAGGAACAGTCTGTTGGATAATTCATACCCTGTTGGTCCCAGTGGCCAGCTGATACTGATGGGGAGATGAAAGAGGAGGGGGGCCTTTCACTGGGAACTCTAATACACCACAAGCTCTCCACTCCAGAGGGATGGGCAAAGGACAGCTCAAAAGTCTAACTGAGAAAAAGTCTAAAAGTACAGGGCTAAAAGAAAGTGAATAGTGTGAAAAAGATGGAGCACTTATTTATCTCTAGATATTTCACACAGAGTGACTTACTTTACTACACCCCAACCAACCCAAGCAGTAATTTAGACTGTTGTATGGCCTGATGCTTACGTGTGGGCCAGGTAAGATAAGATAAGATTATCTTTATTGTCCCATGGGAAATTTGCTGTTGGATAGAGTGCTACACAATGAATACAAATAAAAATGAGTAATACAGGAAAAACAGTTGTGGTTTGAAGTCCTTTTTTGGTCCAATTCTATATCAAAAAATAAAAATTATATCCTGGATACATTTTTTTTTTTTAAATTGTTAGTTATTTTATTTAAATTTAAAAGAGCCACTGATGTTGGAACAAAGGAGAGAGCTTGAAGTGGTTTGGTGCTGGTTATAAAGCAAAAAGTAAGGGGGCCAGTATAGTAGACCAGACTTGTCCATGGGCCAACAGAGATTGTGAAAGTGTTTTGACCGGATTCGTTCTGAAATTTAAAATGGAGTGTGATACAAAGCTGAATTTGGCTGAATGACAAATATTTACCTTCTCTCCAGCTCCATTAGCGTCCATATAGACAATTTTTTTTAACACAATCAAAAGTATTGAGTCATCCACCAATTGTGCCAGTCTTCCATCTAGAAAATATGAAAGATGCCTGTAATTTTAACAAGCAACATGTTACTTATCGGGGGGAAAGTAAGGTACCCCAGCTTTAACTGCCGTGATTAATACAATGTTTGGTAATGTGTGCTTGGGAAAGAGAGCAAAACAGTTGGAGCAAAGCAAATTTTTTTTTCAAACCCACTAAATACAATAAGAAGCAACTGTTTTGGCTATATAGCGTAGCATTAGCATTACAATTATCGACTAGTATTAAAGTGACAATCGAGCCCGATTCCAAAAACTCCATTAAAGTAAACAGTGAGGGAGAAACTAAATACATGTGTAGAGAATATATAAACACAGAAATGCATTCCGTAACTGAATACATTCTTAACGTTTTCTCCCCAACACTGTCCAAAGTTGATTCACGCAGCTATCTCAGTGTATCTATCAAGTCGCACTCACGGGGAAACCACTTTTAAAAATATTTGTGAATTCCCTTTTCTGAGCTAACCCAATCCAATCATTCAGATATTCTCCTTCACAACACGTGACGATACAGAGGTGCACTCGGCCTCCTCCCCACATCTGGCACCCATTAGGAGTCATTATGTAGACAACGATGGGAAGACTCCAGAAATAGTTTAGAAAGCACAATATAAATGTCATGTCATACGCCGTTCTTCTGAATGTGTGGAGATTTTTACGAGGCCTCATAAACTGCATAGTGCCAAGATGAAATGCTTGAAATATTGAGATCCATTGTTTTTAGCTTGATACTGAAAACAAAATAAGCATTCGTTTTTATGTTGCCCGGTTGTGCTAGCTCTGACAGCCTATTTCCACTTTGTACCTTTTGTAAAGAAACCTTGTGTCAGGATTTAGCAGACAGAGACGGATCGTGGTGTGCCAAACTCTGGAAGTTTATTTAAGTTTCTCTCAAGTTCCAATGGTTTACTCTGTTTCTTTCTCTCAGACAGAATAAAGGCAGTACACAGTTTATATAGTCATTGTCACGTCACACATCGAAAGACATACGTGTCACAAAGAGACAGTCAAATCATAGTCATAACATGGAGTCCTTGTAGAGTCCTTGTAGAGTCCTGCACGTAGGCCATATTGCTATCTAATACTAACACCTGAGTGCCCAGAAAGGTGCCGTATAAATGAAATGTATTATTATCATTTTTACTCCCAGTGTTTAAAGTTTTTACCCCAACTACTTACCCCAATTACTTTGATACCAGACAATTTGTTCTTCTGGTCAATTATACATTTTTACTCTAAAGTAGTTATCAAATGGGGTCTATTGACATTTATTATTTGGGCTTTTAATTAAGGTTTTAAGTATTACCCATAATTATTGTTCATTCAAAACCAAAATGAGACTATGTGCGTTGTAATTTCTTGTTTTAGAATCTGAACTAATATTTTCAGCAGAAAGTGAATATTAAAGGGGTATATAAACACAAGTATTATGGGTAAACAATGTTATCCCTCTGCCTTACTCCCATTCTACCACCACAGGGAGCTGTAGATTTATTTTTTTTACTTGGAAAGTAGCAGCTGAAACACAAACGTGTGATTGTAAATGACATACTTTCACAAAAGAAATTGTCAAAACTTACTTATGAGTCTGAAGTGGAACAATGGCATCATACTATTACAAGACACTGGAACATGAAGACAAAAAGTGAAGTTTTGTGCCAGAAGTTCCTGCTATGTGGATGGATCGAAAAACATTTATCTATTTTTTGATGAGGGTACAGTGTTGATTTTCCATATTATGTCTTTCACTATGATACAACAAAAAGTAAAGACAAAAATTGCAAAGAAAATGACCAGAATCCAGCAGAAAATAAGTTTTGCCATAACATAGAAAAGCAAAAGAGACCGGGGACTACTCTGTCACAGCTGGCGATTTAATAAAAACATTAAATGACTGTGCAGAGAGCATTAAATCCATCACAACTGTTGCAAACGTTGGCGTGGATAAGAGAGAGTGGATTTTTAACATTGTTTACTGAACAATGCGTGGCAAATATAAGCGCAGGACTGAAACATTACGACTACAATGGTGGGAACGTGGCAGGAATGACTTGAAAGTGAAGTCATATGTTCTGCATCTGAAAAGCGTTTATCTTTATCGAAACAGTGAAATATTTATGGTTTTCTTTGTGTTGGTTACATGCAACAGACCAGGCCCGGGGAGAGGTCTCCATGACAACGGGGAGAAACATACCGTTGTTCCTCCCACGGCTGCTATTCGTCTCTCAGCTATAGATCATTAATATAAATGATTATTTCTCCTGCTGTTTCAACTTCAACCTCTGTATACGTCTGAACCTCGGAGCAGAAACACCAGCCTCATCAGACCTTCTATTTCCTCCTATTTAAATATTTGTCACGACCTGCATGTTTGAAATGGACTATACAACCACCAGTTTGGAAGCTTTCAAACAGCTTTTTTTAGAAGTAAAATAGGGGTAACCATTAATTTAGCCTAAAAATATACTGACTTCTATGGCTCTTGCATTACCATTTTCCATGCACTGTATTGGTCCTTCTGCATCTACTTTTACTGTAAGGCTTTGTCATTCAATACTATAATACATGTTATGTTAAAGAACTTATCGTTTCCATCCATCCAGCCATCCATTTTCTTGCACTTAATCCATTTTTGGGTCGGGGGGGGGGGGGGGGGGGGGGTCGGGGGGGTTAGTCAGAGCTACATCCTGTACCAGCCCCTCACTGATCCTCCTGCAGGTGGTGAGTCCACAGGAGTCAGTGGCAGTCACGAAGTAGGTCTCATGGTGGGCTTGAACCAACAACCTTCAGGCCCAAAGGCCAATGCTCTACCAACTGACCCACTTTCTCTCTCATTGTGGGCCTCTGTGAGATTTCTAACTTTTTCCCAATGGGTTTTTGAGTTGTTCCAGGGAAAGTGATGATGCCAGACATTTAGTAACATTTATGGACATTGGACATCTCGACCCTATTGATCAATTGCTCTTATGTGTTTGGGATAATTGTAACTCCTGTGTTAGTGAGTAGAGAACAACTGCTGTTGTGATTCAGGGCTCTACAAAAAAAAAGTGGAATCGATGTGATAATTGTGTGTGTGATTACATTTGCCAAAAGGGTTTATGCAGTATACTGTATGATAGAACGTATGCAGTTTATGATTGTTTTTTTCTTTTTACGATTACTTACTGTTTCAAAGTGCTAAGATCAACACAATGGCAAAAATAGATACTTAAATAAACAGGCAAAAAAAAAAAAATTCTAAACAAATAGAAGAGAAAAGTGGACTTACAGAGTTGGATGGCACGCCCAGGTTGGTCTCTATGTAGGTCTCGGTCTTGGGTTCCACAGCCTGCTCGGCCTCCAGGATCTTGGTCACGGGCATCTCCTCGTTGGCACAGCCGCTGGACTCCACCTCGCTCTCCGCCCGCTCTTTGGCTCTCTGGCGCTCCTCCTGGACAGCTGCATGTAACAACACTGGTTCCGGTCACTACTGCTGTTTGTTCAGTCACATCAATGCAGCAAGATATGAAGGCAATAAGGCGGTGAGTGCATGTGGCAGGTTTGGAATGGAAAAATGTGTGGATAAAGTTTTCAGTGGTCCCTCGTTTATCGCGGGGGCTACGTACATAAAACAACCCACGATAAGCGAATCCGCAAAGTAGCAGCTTTATGTTTTAAGGCTGTAAAACCCCTCACCACAACCTTTATCCACTTGTCTAGCCATCTGAACTAACGACTGCTGAAGTGCGATCTCAGAGACGTCAAACCTGTTCTTTGTAGGTCTCAGCGCTGCTGCAGCTGTAAAAAGCCATGCATATCACTGTAACATGCAGCTGCAGAAGACACAGCGCTCATTGTATTAACTGTTGACTCTCTGATCTGTGTAGGGAAATTCAACGGTTTGTTTAATGAAGTCCTTTGAGATAACTACTGGTGTGATTTAGGCTATACAAAAATAAATTAAATTGAATTGAATTGAAAAGGACTTACGGCAACGGGAAGATCACGATAGTCATCTGTAATACGCCTTATAGAAAGGGACCAGTATAAACTATTCTCTCTGTGTTATTGACCCATGTTGAAATGCTGTGGACCTGGGATTAAAGTGGGAAAGGTTGGCGTGTGGTTGGGACATATGTCGGCTATTCACCACCAAAGTGCATCCAGGACATCTTGGGAAACACACAATAAGGCACTATGGCAAGTTTTATCATCCAGGATTTTCAAAGATATTTTCTCCAGGACTTTTTTCCAAACTTTGATGGTAAGAGCTTTACTCTTGTTGCAGAGCTTCCCTCGTATGACTTGTGGGTAATTTCAAAACCTCCTTCACCTGACCTGTAAATACGTAACATATATGTATTTTCCGACTATAAGCTGCTACTTTTTTCTCCTTCTGTGAACCCTGCGGCTTATATAATAATATGTGTATTTTTATTGTGATAGAGTTCTCAGACCAGAGTACATGGACATATTATGTTAGAACTATAGAACACTAGTTCATTGTCAAAATAAACTGGTGAATGGGTCATGGAAGCTAACGGTTAAGCTGTTGTGACCCGTTAAAACATTACAGGAAAACCTTCAGTTTTCAATCAAGTGTGATCTTAATGTTGACAAAATGATTTTTTGTATGTAGCTGGTGTGGCTTATATACAGGTGCACCTATTAGTCTATAAAGTAGGGTACAGTATTGATTCCTGTTTCTAAACTTTTTAAGAAATACGCAGAAATGAAATGAATGAAAGACGCTTAAGCCACATCATCCTCAGTGTCTCTGTACACTATTGTGGGAATGTGGGCGTGGATGGGTGAATGGGTCCTTGATGAAAAGCGATTTGAAAGGTGGAAAGGTCATTCACCACCAAAACTGCTGTCAACTGTTTATCTTAATACTATCATGTGGTGTATAGTGATCATTTGATGTTCAGTAAAACAAACGTATTCCGACCCATGTATCTATCCCAAACTGTTGCTGCCCTGGGAAATAACAACATTTCAAAACTTCCTCTGGCAAACTTTTACTATTTCCTTTTTCTCAAAACAAAAGTGGCAAACAAACAGACTGTACTTGCTTGTCCCCCCGGTCACAGCTCGCTCTGGTGTTGTTTTCATGAGTCTGCATTAATATTACAGGGCAGACAAGGTGGGGACGGGACAATAAACATGGACTCATCCAACTTGCAGACATTATTACTTACTTACTTACTTACATTATGGCACAGAGACACTAAAGTCATCAGAGCTTCAGCTGCGCAATTGTACCGTGCAGTAGAAAATCATTAAATATATCCTGCTATAAATGTTCAAGCAGTCCTTCAAACTACCAGGGCTCATAATTCAAAACAGCCTTGGGGGATTTCAATGTAAAATGTAATATAATAGATTTGAATGGAATTTGTCCACAAAACATGATCCACTTCTCAACATCTTAAGCCGCTATTGTATTGATACTTGAGGTAATAAAGTGGGCTATATATATTTTTTCATTGTTTTGTTGCTGCACTATTTATTCTGCAGTAAATGATCACTTATCAAAATAGTACATTCACGGTAGTTATGCTCCGTAAAGTCTAATGCCGTTGACCTTAGTATTCTTCCATTTACCTTGCCAAAGAATGAGTCTATTGGTATGTATCTATTGGCTTAAAATCATCTTAGCCGGAACAGATTAAGTGTGTTTGATAATTTTGGTGTGTACATTACATTAAAGCTTGGACACCCATTTTAAAACCACAAACATAACTATTTCATAACAATTACCAAACTTGCTCCACGCTCAAAACAGTTTGGTATCACTATTTTCTATATGGCTTTGAATTTGTGGTCACATCTTTGATCAGCGTTTTCAGCCCAAAGCTTCAAAAAGTGACTCGCAGGGCTCTTTCCTAAAGAGAGAAAAGATTAAATGCGTTCTTATGCGATGTGGTCTGATTTGTTCACAACATTTAGTTTTGACAAGACTCTTTCCTTTAAGACTGAAGATGAGGAAGGGGCGTTTAAGATTTTTGAAGAGATGAGACTGTCATGGTGTGGATTTTATTTATTTCTGTCACATGATGAGATGACCAAGGACTCAAATAGCAGGAACGCAAAAAAAAAAGAAGATAATAAAGAGGAAAAAATAAATGTCCAGGGTGAAAATCCAATTAACCAGGAAAAGGACATGGACATACTGTAACTTGACGATACAATGGACCATAACAAGGGGAGAGGAGCACAGGTACAAATAGACACAGACGCAGGCAAAGGTGAAACACAATAGGGCGGGGCAGACAATCAACAAGGGAACAGGAAGTCAACTCAAACAAGAGAACAAATATATAGCAAAAAAAACAAAAAATCAGGTCAAAATGGTTAAAAAGTCCACACCGAGAGACGGGTTTCTACAAATTTCAAATTCAGGATGTAAACCTGTTCTGTTTCATTGTGCATACAGCTGAGGGCTTTTATCTTCATCTTTTTAATGCACCGTGATTATTTTAACCCTAACCCTTCTATCTTGTTTTGTTAAGGACATATATTACTAATGAAAAATGTTAGGTACCCGAGCTTTAGGTTTCCTCTCAACACTGTCCAAACATGATGGTATAATGTGACCAATGCCAAATGTAACATGACATTTTTCTCGCTTCTTTTCCCAGTGGATTTTTGAGTCATTCCTTGCAGATGCATGAAGGTCTAAGAACAATGTGGTTTGGGATATTAAAGGAGATCTATTAACATTTATGGACATCCTTCATCCTGCTCTCTATGGACCAATGGCTGTGTTTGTTATTCTGTCTTTGAACTTCGTGGAGTCCACCAAGATCACTTCTGTTGTGATTTAGGGCTATTCAAAAATAAATTTAATTGAAATGGGAAGAGCCGAGTAGAGTAGAGGACTTTGAATTGGAGTTCTAGTGTTAATACTTGTACAAAGGCAAAGAGCAGTTCATTTAGCCCCAAATGAAGCTGTCTCCTAATAGTGTACGTCCCGCTGGCCTTCCATTACACAACTTCAATAACACCATTGTATGAATATGTCTGGTACATGCACAGTTCGGGCTCTCCGCTCTCTGATTGGTCGCTGGAGCAGACACAGGAAATGGCTTATGTGCTGAGCAGACAGCGCGGCTCACTGTGGCAAAACCGCACCTCCCCACCCCACTTTTCAACTCTTCAAAAATCCCAAAGGACGCTTATAATTTCACCAACGATAATTCTATCCACCGCTCCCCGAAAATAACAAAAACCCCATAGCTGTCACTTTTAAATCTTTCAAACTTATGAAAATGTATGGCAAGAGGTGTAATACTAGCCCTGCACATGCCGCACACACCTGGAGATTTGCCTGCTGGGGAGAGAGTGTGGGTTACGGTTACTTTAAAAAAAAATGCAAGTAATATATTTCAGTTTTTGAGCAAGCAATTTAAGACGGATATTATTTTTTATGAGTATGCAGTGTTTCCCACAGGTTTGAAGGCAATGTGTGGTGGTCGTCGGCGGGGGGGGGGGGTACAGTGGTAGAGGACAATCTTGAGGTCATGAATCCAGTGAAATTAGTCGCACACCTTTTTACAGTAATAAGTTACAGCAGATCAAAAGTGACATGTTTTGACAATTTTTAGGCTATTTTGGACCAAAATGGCTGCTTTAAATCAATATTTCTACAGTAAAAGTTTCTGGTCTTTGGTACAGTGGTAGAGGGCAATCATGAGGTCGTGAATCCAGTGAAATTAGTCGCACACCTTTTTACAGTAAAAAGTTACAGTAGATCAAAAGTGACATGTTTTGACTATTTTGGAGGTATTTTGGACCAAAATGGCTACTTTACCTCAATATTTCTCAATATTTCTACAGTAAAAGTGTCTGGTCTTTGGTACAGTGGTAGAAGGCAATGTTGAGGTCATGAATCCAGTGAAATCAGTTGCACACCTTTTTACAGTGAAAAGTTACAGTAGATCAAATGTGACATGTTTTGACCATTTTTAGGCTATTTTGGACCAAAATGGCTACTTTAAATCAATATTTCTCAATATTTCTACAGTAAAAGTGTCTGGTCTTTGGTACAGTGGTAGAGGACAATCTTGAGGTCATGAATCCAGTGAAATTAGTCGCACACCTTTTTACAGTAAAAAGTTACAGTAGATCAAAAGTGACATGTTTTGACTATTTTGGAGGTATTTTGGACCAAAATGGCTACTTTACCTCAATATTTCTCAATATTTCTACAGTAAAAGTTTCTGGTCTTTGGTACAGTGGCAGAGGGCAATAATAAGGTCATGAGTCAAGTGAAATTAGTCGCACACCTTATTCCAGTAAATAGTTACAATACTTGAAAATTGCACTAGCGGACCAAATTGTGTACTTTATACATGTAAACAATAGAGTGGCTATCCTCCTGAGGACTCACAATCTGCCGGAGGAATCGTAGGGGGCTGGTGCTATGTGTGCCGGGTGGCATCTCTATAAGGTTTTAATCACAAAAACGT